ATGTCTTCGGTGGACATAGTTGAGCTTTGGCCTTGGGGTTTAGAGTACGGTTGTTTTGGAGGAAATTGGTTTTGTGGAGGGTTATTTTGTGGTGGGTTTCCTTGCGGATTCCCATATCTCAAATTGGGATGATCTCTAAACCCGGGATGATAAGTGTTGCCATAAGAATCATACCTCTTTTGGTTTGGGAACCCCAAAGTGTTGACCTGCTCGGGGTTTTCTTCTTGAAGGCTCGGGCATGCATCGGTGGGATGACCTTGTTGTGTGCAGATGCCGCAGACCTTGACTTCTTGGGTTTTGGAATTTAAAAGAAAATCCTTTACCAAAGAAGTCAAGCCGGCAACTTGACTTTCTAGAGATGATGTTGATTCGGCCGCCATGACTCTTTTTGTTGATGACCGCCCGTTGTGATATCTACAATTCTCGGCCAACTCCGAGATAAGATTCATAGCTTGAGAAGGAGTCTTGTTAACGATTCCTCCTCCACATGCGGCATTAATCATCCGTCTATCATCATTGCAAAGACCATCATAAAAGTATAGGATGAGGTCTTGCTCCGAATAGCCATGATACGGACAGCTTGCACAAAGTTTCTTGAATCGTTCCCAATATTCATAGAACGATTCATCATCTTTTTGCTCCACATTGCTTATTTGTTTTTTTAGAGATGAGGAGACAGAGGCTGGATAGTACCTTTCGAGGAAATCTTTCTTCATGGCCGCCCATGTATCTATACTTCCCGAAGGAAGATAGAATAGCCAATCCTTTGCGGTGTCCTTGAGTGAGAATGGGAAAGCCCGCAATTTGATTTGCTCCTCGGTGACTCCATTAGGACACATGCTTGTGCATACGACATGGAATTCCGAGAGGTGTTTATTTGGATCTTCCCCTCTTAAGCCATGGAAGGATGGCAAAAGATGAATGAGCCCAGATTTCAGCTCAAATGTATTACCCTCGTTGAGTGTGGGGAAGGTAATACACAACGGTTGTTGGTTCAAGTTCGGAGCTGTGAGCTCCCTTAACGTTCTTGTTTCGAGAGCCATAGTCGTTGGTTCTTCAGGCTCGCTAGAATAAGAGCTAGCACTTGATGAATCTCCCGAGTCGGTATTTGAGAATTTATTTTTCAACCGCTCGAAAGTTTGCTCTATTTCGGGGTTTGATTGGTAGGTGATTTCGTTTATAGAACGATATCGGACCATATACTTCACAAAGCTCAGAAATAGAAAAATAAGAACTCTTTATATTTTTGGTTAATTATTTTTTTTTGATTTTTCTTGAAATAAAATAAAAAGAAAAATAATTGCCTTTCCCCGGCAACGGCGCCAAATTTGACGTGCACTTGTCGTGAGGTGCACTCAAAATAAATATCAATACAACACTTATACGTAGTATAACGAAGTAAGGTTCGTATCCACAGGGAAAGGAATATTTTTCTCTTTATAAACTAGTAACAAGGGGGGGTTTAGATTGAGTAATCTTAAATTATATTTAAACACGAAGATGAACGAGTTATGTGGTTTAATTAATAAGAAGAAGACTTGGCTTTGCTTTTATCCACTTAATGAAATGTTCGTCGATCCCGGTTATATCTTTAACTATCTTCCTCTCGAATACTCAATCGAGGAGTATATCCAATTCATCGAGGGTAGTTATTAATAACGAGAAGCGTTCATTAATAAAACTTACTATCGAGTCAATATAGAACAAGTGCCGTATATTAACTTGATAGTAGCAATAAACTTAAGATGAAAACGATTGAGATTGATAACCTCAACACAAGCGGTTTGTTGGTTAATCAATGTAATTAATTCCCCTTAGATTATTGACCATGAGATGCATGCATTAATAATCCAAGTTTACTACCGTGAAAGGACCGAATTAATAACAAGCGTATTAATCGACCGATTCTAGTATTAATTAATATATGAAACAAAACTAGTTGATCCTTTAAGTAATGTTCAAAATATTAATATGAAATATCAATAGGAATTAATTAATACTCAAGAAAGAATATTAAAGAAGATGAATCCTACTATAGTTAATATCAAGATGTTAACTAATTGTCATCTTAGTAACACTCCCCGATATTAACGTAGAGGAAGAAATAACTATTACTATAACTAATGTCAAGATGTTAACTAATTGTCATCTTAGTAACACTCCCCAACATTGATATAGAAATAGTATTTAAAGAAAGAATTAATATTCAAGGAAGAAGATTAAAGAAAATAACTCACAACTTACAAATTCATTAAGCTTCAAAGGAGCAAAACCAAGATGGAAGAGTTTAGCTCCTCATTTGGAGACTAAACATGAAGAAAATATAAAGAAATACTATTCTAAACTGAGCTAAAGAGTATATGTGAATTGGTCATTTTCTTGTGGAGGAAATGGGGTGTATTTATAGGCTTTTTAGGCCTGCAGGGTCGTGTACCCGATCGGGTTTTCAGCCCACTCGATCGGGTACCAGATGTGGCTTCGGTGAAGCTGGAAAATGGGGTCATACCCGATCGGGTCTGTCGGTCACCCGATCGGGTATGGACACCCGAACGTGTTAAAATCTTCCCGCATGATGCCTTGTTCCCGGATCTGATTTGATTCGAAATTTCAGAAGGGTACCCGACCGGGTATAGGTCATACCCGATCGGGTACAGACCAAAAACGAGATCTTCAATCTTTTTCTTGTATTCTTGTACCTTCCTTGCACTGGTGATGTTCACCAATGGTCTCCAAAGTGTATTTGGACCTGTTTGAGCTCAGAATAAACCTAATCTAAACATATTACAAATATTTTACAAACTAAACTATTTACACCAAAAGTGTGTAATTTCCAAAGTAACAATCACTCGAAACTAATTAAAAGTACAAATTTAAATATGGAAATTACATGAATGTCAAGCGACATGATCCTAAATTATTGCCAAGACGAGCGAGCTTTCAGCCCCTGAATCGCTACTAATCTCTTAGCGAACAATTAAGGGTATGTTTGGCACAACTAGTTGAAAATATACTTTTGTGAGATTTTTAATAACTGTTAGCTTTTAGTTACTGAAAAGATCTTAAAAAGAAAAGGTGGCAGCTGTTTGGTAAAAAGCAAACTGTTTGATTTAGTTCGGTTTGGTAGACAAGCTGTTATGACTAATTAATAATAAAAGTCACGGTTTTTTTTTCAGATGCTACTCCTTGTAGCATCTCAAAAAAGATCTTTATATTTTTTGAAAAGCTCTTAAAATTTGTCATGCCAAACATATAACTAGAAGTTTTTAGAGACTTTTTGAATAGTATAAAAGCTACAAGGCAGAGACTTATGCCTGCCAAACATAGCCTAAGTGTGTGTGAATGTGTCTTAGAATAAAATAGATCTCTCTTAATTTATTCTACAAGCAATTGTAATTCTAGCTGCAGTCTAGGTTACAAGAGGTATCAATTAAATTATTCAAACACAAATTAAACGGCATTCATGAAATCCATCATGAAACTAGCCATACATCATGATTAACTCTTTCATCAACCCCAAATCCCTAATTAAACTACTCACAACTCATAATTGAAGAATCCATAGAATTGGGATGAATAGAAATAATTGTCGTTAATTAAAAAGATTGAACTTACAAATAATCTCAGGGTCTTGGAGAAAACAATGGAAAATCACAGATAGAAATCGTCCCTAGGCCTCGATCCCCGTAATGTTCGTAACCCTTAAATAGGAGAAGGGAGACCTTATTTATAGAAAACAGATGAGTTTGGGTTGAATTGGGACAAAAACGGGTTCAGGCACGCCGTGCCTAAGTTCCAGGCACGACCGTGCCTGCGTAGCAAGGCCGAAATCCACATTTTGTATCTAGTCACGATCGTGCCTCTCTGGTTAGGCACGATCGTGCCTACCTGGCAGTAGCTCCACGGTGCATTCCTTCTTCACGCACTATCGTGCGTCCCTCCAGGCACGACCATGTGTGGCCTGTTCCTCATCATTTCTCAAGTCCAAATTTGACAATACTTACTTCATGAAATTAAAGTCATAGATAATGAAGTCTTCTATCCACTACAACTTAGCTTGCAAAACTGGATTTGAATCATCCAATCAAATGATATGAATACAATGGTGGAAGATCGCATTCTGAAATCACAACACGGATCATCTGACTTCATCATCTGTTTTCACCTTCTTCCTCTCAGATTCTCGCAATGGTGTCTGCATATGATTTGTAGACCTTGAAGTTAGCTTTCATATGGAACTTAAATCGTATTCTTTGGATGTTTCTACAAAAAGATATGTTTGAACGATTGACTGAAGGTCATCCTGATCGCCGATTTCAAGCTATATTCGTCCTCTTTTGATCTCATTGCCAATTCTAGAGTTGTATTGTCTTCAAATCTTTATCGTAAACCTCCTGGTGGCCTCCAAAAGTTAAAATCAATCTTGAATGCATCTCGAATCATACCGATTGCTCCTCAAGCGCTAGTGGCGGACTCTAAATTCCTGATTTTGACTTCAAATGACATAAAACTCGAACCAACACCTGGTAAATATAACTTGAGCTAAATTTGAGACTTGTAACACCTTAAAACTAGGAAAACCATCATAAGCCAATCCCACCACGCATCAAATGCGTGTCGAAATACGGACTTATCAATATATATAAGTTTACATATTATTTGACGAAGATAAGTTTATATCTTACCAAGGACAAAAACATTATTTTCCAAATTAAATTATCCTAATTAGAATTACAAATTCAAGAGAAATGACATGTTTGGTGTTGTTGAGCATGTTTGTGATTCTGCGGAACTCCATCTTTTGGACAACGAATGACAAAGGTATAAGTTTATGTAATTACATACTAGTAAATACTAAGACTACGCGATATACTTTGCCTTTGGTCTATCTTTTTTCCTATATTTAATCAACTGATGAAATGATCTTTAGGATTTACCTTTTCATGAAGATGATATGAATCCATTTAATCATGTGAGCAATTCACAATTATATTGAATTGTAGTTGTCCAGAGATGAAGAAAAACAAAAACAAAAAAATGCAGGACCACAAAAGAAGCTATTCCAAATTACCAGGGAGTTTAGAGGATCGGAAGGCCAACACGAAACTAAGGTAGGAAAACAAGCAAGTGCTTGACAATTGATTGTATCTTTGCCCACACAATTCTTTTTTACTCTTTAACAATGAGTTAAAAATTAGAGTTGGCAGTTCGACTTGAATATATATACATGGAAATTGTTACCTAGTAACCTAACCCCAATCATGAAATTCATCCACTGTCGTATATAACGAGAAACATTAACATTCCAAGATATATATGGAGTATAAAGCACTACATTACACACACACACTTTCTATATGTACAGGAGAGAAGAGCATAACATGAAAGAGAAGAACCTATCAGGGTAGCCAAGGATGACTCGCCTCGCGCGCTACTCAAGCAGATATAAATTCATGCAAGAACAAACATTAAGCACCGGGCAAGTCATCCTTGGCTAGCTAATAAGGGACTTCATTACATGCAATGCCTCTCTTCTTTGTAATAGAATTGTTTAGTTTCTCTCTTTACATATCAGAATTCATTTACCGACCTCTATTTATAATATGCTAATATTTTACTATTGAGAATAATTTTATTGATTACCTTAATCTTCATAATATCCGTCCATCTCTCACACCATTTTATTTTACTTTTCCATATCATAAAGCACATTATACAACCACAAATGACTTGGATCCCAAATATGTGCATGATTTCCTCGTTAAAGTTGAACTTCTAATGATGTAAATATTTGAAAATGGAATTACCTTTAAGGCAGCCAAAAATTTACGGAGTATATAAACAAATTCTTTGTCAGCTGTATTTGTTTTTCAGTCATCAATGACGTTTTTTTAATATTTCAAAAGTATGAAATACTACTCACCATACTCAGCTCGCTTCAAGTTTTACTGTATTATTCCACATGCAAGTCAAAATTAACTAAAATTTATGAGGTAGAGGGAGTATATTATAGGTGAAACCCATAAATTTTGCACTACATCCTTCCCTTACAACTTGACCATGGATAATATATTTTATAGGAAATGATTTATAAAATAAAATCATGTGAAAATGTTCTTTGTTGAAAATACTTTTTTAATATAAGTATAAAATTTTGAACTTTCCTAAAATTATACAAATCAAAATCACTTGCTAAAGTTTATCATAATTGACTTAAAAGTCAAAGATTGCAAAATTTTAATGCACAATGGTAGGACTTTTATGATAGTATTTTGAATAAAGAACATTATCATATCATTTTCATATTATAAATACTTTCGTATATAAGTATATTATCGATCAAAATATAGTATCCTTGATTGGAAAAATCAAAGATGACTAATTAAAATGCTAAGGGCTGGAGGGAGTTTAATGTATTCTGGGAAAAGTGTCAAAAGACGCTTCTACTATTTTCAATTCATCAGTTAAGTCCTTGTACTAAAAAACATCATTGATAGAGTATTAATTCTAGAGAGAAGTGAGAGCTAGAGAGAGAAAGTGAGCAATTATATTTCTCAACTTGGAACCCCCTATAATTAGCCCCTTGGGGTCTATTTATAGGTAAAAATGTGGATTTGGGCCCCTAGCCTTGGGCTTAGGAGGCCCATTACAATAATCATGCCTTCTTTGGGCGAAATAAGGCCACTAATGGGCTGTGTACAATACTTAGAAAATACAGTGAAAAATACATTCTGCCTAGACGAAGTCTGGACGATGCGGTCCATGGACGATGCGGTCCATGGACGATGCGGTCTATGGACGATGCGGATCCTGGGTCTTGCCCAAGGATCTAGACGACATTTTCTTTCTTGGACGTTGCGTGCCTCTGGCCGATGCGGGTGTCTTTTGGGCCGTTGAGTGTGTGGGCCATGGGGTCCAGGCCCATATACTCTATCAGGAGTCCCCCACTCTCTGAGCTGAGGTGAAGCCGAAGCAAAAGGGAGTACTTGTTCCTTTCTGGATGGCCGCTGCGTGGCCCTGAGGTTCTTGATGGCCGAAGAGTCTCTGCTTCGATTTTGGACGAAGCGAATCCCTTATTTGATGTAGATGAAGCGCGCTTGGGAATTCATAGCCTTGATGTAGGGCCGATGCACTCTCTGTGGAAGTGCTTTTGAAGACGAGGCGATGCGCTTTCTTTCTTGTAGATGATGTGATGAATTCCGGTGTGGATAAGTTGGCATGCTTTTATTGTCATCTTGTTGGGGTCGAAGAGCTCCCATCTGTCTTTTTGGCCGTAGCGATGACATATCTTCATGAGATGAAGATGGTTGATTCTGTTTATGTAGACGATGCGATGCACGCCTTTGATTTTGCCACGTAGCCGAAGCGTTTGACTTGTGGTCTTTTGCTTTGGTGAGCCGACGCGGTCCCTTTTACATTAAGGCCGTTGCGTTTTCTTTCCTCGTAGCCGATACAGTCCCCCAGTCCCCCACTCCTTTGGCCGAAGAGTATCTGAGGCACAAGGGAGTAATGAGCCGATTCGGTACCTATGCGTTAGTCGTGATTCCAACCCTTAGGCGAACCTGTCCAAGGTAACCCTGTGGGAGAACCCTTGGACGAAGGCCGCAATGCCAGGGTTATCATCGACGATGCGCGCACAAGCGGCCGTAGCGGTCTATTAAGGTTCCTTGGGTTGCTGTGAGGGCGTTGAGTTTTGCTTATTTGTGGCAAAGCTAGACGAGGCGGAAACTCCTTGCCCAGTATTTAGTTTTCCCCTGATTTTTTATGTCTCGAAGACGATGCGCTCCATTCCTCATTTTTACCTTGTGTTAGACGATGCGGTCCACTCGTGTTGGTAGATGTAGCGGCATTATTAATGAGTGAGCCGTTGCGCTTTTACTTTTGTTTGGACGAGGCGTTTCACTTCTTTGTGTGTAGCTGGTAGTCCTCCGGTCCCCCACTCTCTTGGCTGAAGCGTAGCCTGAGGCGCAAGGGAGTGAAGTTCTCTTGAATGTAGCCGAGGCGGTTTTCAAGCTAGTAGTTATTAGGCCGAAGCAGGCTTTTGAGTGCTGTTGTTTGAGACGTGGCCGATGCCCTGGCTATTCTGAGTTTTAGTTGTGCCGTAGGGGATGTTTCCGTGAGTGGGTTTGAATGGGTGCCTCTTGATTGGTTTGGAGAGAGGTGGCCGTTGTTGTGGCCAATGCGTGGGTGCCACGTGTAATGACCGTTGGGTGATGTTTATAAATACCCCCTTATTCCGAGGCCACTTCCTCATTTGCATTTGCTAGAGTTGAAGTGCTGCTGAGATTTCTAGAGAGATAAAGTGCTTCCCAGAAATCTTCAAGTGTTCTTCAGACCTTCAAAAACTTTCAAGGTTAGGTTCTTGAATCTTCGCTTTTTCCTTTATATTTTTGCTTCCTAGGGGGTTAGATCTAGTATTTCTAGGAAAAATCACTTTGATCCTCGAACAACCCTTAGGACGTAGCAATAGTTGTTATGCCGTTCCCTGACGGCCGTAGCGTCCCCTCCCCTCTTAACTTAACAGCTTCTTTGGACGAGTCGGACTGGCCTTTTGACGATGAGGACTCGTCTCCTGGAGTGAATCTTGAGATAGTTCGAGCGTTTGAAACAGAGATGGAGAATACGGCTGATTATCGCACCTCTCAGGACGAGGAGCGTCTGAATGATGATGCGGGTTCCCAACCATCGGGCGAGGACGAGGCGAGCTCTGAACCCAAGCTTCGGGGAGACGAAGCGGGTGATGCCTCTTCGGCCGCCATCCTCTGCCCTCCACCTATTTCGTCTGTGCCGGGTAAGGCTTCGTCGTCTGGAGCGGCGAAGAAACGCGCATCGCGTCGACGAAGAGGGGTGTCCAGTGGGCTATCTCAATTGGATTTGACAAATCTTTACATCATAAAGCCGGAGAGCACCCATAGTGAGTATCAGGTGGCACAATTGTACGTAGGCCCCTACGGGAAGGTGAGGGCACCGAAGCCGACGGACCATGTTCTTGATCCACCTCCCGGTTATCTCGGAGTGTATCCGATGAGCTTCTCCCAGGGTTTAAGGTTCCCTTTGCATCCATTCGTCGTGGAGTACCTCCAAATGATAGACCTTCCACCTGCCTTGTTAACTCCGAACAGCTATTCCCTTATTGTTGGGTTCCTCATCCGATGCGATGAGCTTGGAATTGAGCCGACGACGGCGTTGTTCACCAACTTGTACCGGATCGGTCGGGGGAGCCACGAGAATTGTGCTGGCTATGCGGCGCTTCAACAGTTGCCCAAGAAGAGGTCCTTCATAGATCTCCCTTCGTCCATCCACGGATGGAAGAGCAAATTCTGCTTTGTGAAATTGGCCGACGGGGTCTTTTTTCCTTCCCAAGGCCATAGTGGCCTTTTTAACCTGCACACTCCGCCGAAGAGCGCTGAGATTGATGCTCAAGTGGAGGCGTTCCTGAAGGGTGGGCCGCGGAGCGTCAACACCTATATTACTGAGTTCAAGATCGCGGCCCTTGGGATGATGCGCTACTACATACCAGGCGATCCTGATTGTGACTTGTGGCCGAAGATGTCCGGCTACTTTGAGCAAGCCGATGGGCCATTTATTGGGATCCCGGCCGAGGCCGAAGGTTGATAGCTTTTCTCCTAATCCTTGTGTACTTGGCTTTTTTCGCTTCTAACCCTTTGTTTTGTGTCGCATTCGCAGGTTTTGAGATGAGTCGCAAGCTTTTCATGGCTCAGGCCAAGAAAATGGTTGATAAGGAGATGCAGGCGGCTCGTCAGGCCGAAGCGTCCAAGGGTTCCGGTGACGGGACCAAATCACAAGCCGACGCGGCGAAGAAGCCGGTGGTGAAGAGGAAGAAGGCTGCTGAGGAGGGTCAGCGTACCTTAGCCGAGTCGGGTCTGGTACCGGCTCACGGTGCCAAAAAGACGAAGCGGGACCCTCCTCTTAATGACGATGCGATGGCCGATACGCATGCGTCGGTTCAAGGGGAAGCCGTCTCTGACGTGCATATTATTGAGGATCTGACTTTGAATGTCGCCTCATCCGCCGTAGTCCCTACCAAATCTGGTGTTGTCGCCAAGGGGAGCACCCGCGCCGATCGAGATCCGGCTACCGGCCTATATGAGGTGACGGTGCGGTACCCGACGAAGGGCGGGCTGTTCAATGAGAAGGTGTCTGGCCACGACGTCTTGTTCCAGGCCATTCCCGATGCCGATAGGGAGTACCTGCGGCGGCAGAGCAAGGATGTGCGCCTTTTCGACGGCGGTTTGGACTACGTCGTCCAGGCAAGTCCCGGCTTTTGTACTTAGCAATTTTTTGTGTATATATTTCTTTTTCTGACAATTACTTGCCTTTGCAGGGGGCTTTTATGCTGATGGAGCAGCAGCGGCGGCAGGTCGAGGAGCTTGCTCGCCTTCGGGAGGCTGAGAAGAAAGCCGCTTCTGCTGGCGAGGCGCTTTCCCAGTTGGAGCGGCTTCTAACTGAGACCGACTCCCTGAAGGATAAGTCTGATGCGGCTGAAAGGAGAGCCGTTGTTGCTGAGGACGAGGCGAGGCGCCTCAAAGTTCAGCTGGATGAGGAAGCCGCTGCCCGTCGGCTGGCAGAGGAAAAGGCTGCACAGCTAGAGGCCGATGTGACTGCGGCTGCCGATAAAGCCATTGAGCTCTTCATGGCTGAAGGGTGGAAAGACGAGGCCCGACGCGATTGGAGTTATAACGTCGTGGCGGAGCGCTTTGAGGCGTGGTCGCAGGAGGAAGCCGGTCGAGCTTGCCTCAAGCAGGAGTTTGAAGTCTGGTACGACCTCGGCCAGAGGCGTATGCAGATGTTGGTTTACCGCCGCCTCCGCCGCCGTGTAAAAAACTTGAAGCCCATGGGTATCGGCCTTCCTCGGTTAATGAAGGACCCCGAGGAGGAGTTAAAACTCCCACTGTCCGAAAGGCAACCCCCCATTTTGAGCTCAGACGAGGAGGACGGGCCCTGGACCGAGAGTGACGACTACCTCTTTCGGAGCTCGGCCAAGTCCAAGAATACCGAGGATGAGCAGGACGATGCGGACAGCGGAGCCGTTGAGGGTGGCCAAGGACAAGCTGTTTAGTGTTTCCTTGTACTTAGTTTTCTTTCTTTATTTGCAATAGTAGTCTCAATGGCCGAAGCGCCCTGATTTGTGTAATGGCCGAAGCGCCCTCCTGATGTACTTGACATCCGAAATTAATGAACTTTTTTGCCTTTGAATGGATGTGTTGTTGCTTCGTCTTCATCGCCTTAACTTCATATGTGTTTAATTCTCGTGATTTTTGCCGAGTGTCAGAGTTGCCTACACCCCGGTTTGATTGAGACGAAGCGTCCCTCGTCTGTGTATTTATGTAGATTGTTTTCCTTGGAATTTTTCTAAGTGTGGGCACCCGAATATGCCTTGATTGCTTAAGACGATACGAAGCTTCATCCGGGTGCCTCATGAGGACGATGCGGGTGGCGCAACGTCTTGGGTATGTTGTCCTCTGTCGTAGAGACGATGTGTCCAGTAACGCATACTTTACTTTTGTTTGGAAATTTTTCTAAGTGTTAGGATTTTGCTTTGAGGATGTTGTCGTCCATTCGTTGAGACGTAGCGGTCCTTTTTTCATTTGTTATCACCGGGGACGATGCACCTCGTCAACCCTTGGTGTGCTTCTTTCGTTTTGAACAACTTTTCTGAAACTGCTCGAGTACCAGGGGTTTGGCCTTGAGGTGTTGAGGACGAAGCGGTGCTTGGATGTGGAATGGTAGTGCATCGTCTCTCTATTAGTTTGACTTTTGAAAATTTTTCTAAGTGTCAAACTTGCCTTGATGGAGGTTTTGCCTCGGTTCGCCATTTGGGTTTTGCTATTCGGAGACGACGCGCTCCTGTCGTCCAAACACTGGAATGTAGTTTCGTATAACCGAAACCGAAGCGATTCCCTTTTATAAAGCTGTGGTTGAGGCCGAAGCGTTTTCTTCGGATTCCTGTATGGTGAAAACCTGATATGTACTTAGCCGATTTTGAGGCTTGGTTTTTGTGGGGATTTTATTTTATGCTCGAGGCCGGCGAGTGCGCGGTCCGTCGGCTCCCCTCTCTCTCTCTCTTTTTTTTTTTTTTGGTAGCCGAAGGGTTACTGTCCCTTCGTCCATGTGCGGTAATTTGTCCGCTACGCTTTTCGCGTGGATTAGTGCGAGGGAGTAAATACGCCCTCGGCTTGGTGTGTCAGTGGCATCTTTTTTGGCCTTTCCACGTCTATCGTCGACGTGGGACCGGACTAGGCATCGTCTTTTGACGGCCGCCCTTTGTGGTCCTGAGTGAAATTTTACTGACGGGTGGAGTTTTTGTAACCTCGGCCTTAATTCAGGCTTGTCGTCCTGCGGTTTCCGCTCGGAGGACGCGGTATGCTTCTCCGTTTGAAGAAGTCGGACCATGCACACAGGTCCTTCGTCCTGCATATCGCCGGCCGATTTGGGTGTTTCATCGCTTGTGCCGATACGATATTTAGGTGCGTTGTCTATGCAACGGCTTTGCAGGCACGTTGTGGATCGCAACGGCCTTAGGTGCGTTGTGTATTGCAACGGCTTTTGGGTGCGTTGTTTATTGCAACGGCTTTAGGTGCGCTGTTTATTGCAACGGCTTTAGGTGCGTCGTTTATTGCAACGGCTTTAGGTGCGTCGTTTATTGCGACGGCTTTAGGTCGCATCGGACCCGGGTGATTGCACCGCTTAGGCCGATGCGGTCCTTGGGTTTCCCTTTGCTCAAATCTTAAGAGATTGGATAAAACATGAATTTTATTCAATAAGTGGCGCTAGGTCGAGGGTGTTTTATTCAACCAATACGCCGAGGGGTGGGGGACGTTGCCCGCTTCACCACTTCTCGAGTTATTGGTAAAATTTCACCAAATGGTGTACATTCCACAATCGTGGTACATTTGACCCATTAGGGTTCTTTAGTCTATAGGTGCCGGCTTTGATGACGGCGCTGATGATGTAGGGCCCTTCAAATTTGACGGCGAGCTTTCCTCCTTCCGTTGGTTTGCTCGCTTCCCTTCGGCGGAGGACGTAGTCCCCCACCTGGAATTCCCGAGAGCGGACCTTGGCGTCGTAGTAGGATTTTACTTGTCGTCTGTAGTTCTCCGCTCTGAGGTAGGCCATTTCTCGTCTCTCATCGATGAGGTGTAGGTCCACCTTCATGGTTTCTTCGTTGGCCTCAGGGTCGTATTGTGTGACCCGTCGGCTGGGAAACGTCACCTCAGTGGGAGCCTTGGCTTCGAAGCCATAACAAAGGGAGAATGGTGTCTCCCCGGTGGCCCTCCTCGGCGTATTGCGGTAGGACCATAGGACGTTGGGGAGCTCGTCGGCCCAACTTCCGCCTACTTCCTCAAGTTTCTTCTTTAGCCCTTCCAAGATGGTTCTGTTGGCGTTCTCGACTTGCCCGTTGGCCTGAGGGTAGGCAACGGAGGAGAAACGGTGCTTGATACCCCATTCTTGGAGGAGGCTTTGGAACGGTTCGGCTTCAAATTGGGTGCCGTTGTCAGAAATGATCTCCTGGGGCACGCTGAAGCGGGTGAGGATGTTCTTGTAGACGAACTTTCGACACCGCGCTCCGGTGATGCTTGCGAGTGGTTCGGCTTCGACCCATTTAGTGAAATAGTCGATGGCGACGATGATGTATCTGTTGTTGCCTGCGGCTCTTGGTAGCGGGCCGACGAGGTCGATGCCCCATCTGGAAAATGGAATGGCAGTGCTGACCGGGGCGTAGTTGACGGCTGGTCGGCCAGGGGCCCTTTGATAATGTTGACATGCGCTGCATTTGCGGGCGACCTCAGCGCAATCGCGCGCCATCGTCGGCCAAAAATAGCCTTGGACGACGAGGCGGCGCGACATGTTGAAGGGCCCCTGGTGTGATGAGCATATGCCGCAGTGGACTTCTTCCATGGCCACTTCGGCCTCATTCTGGTGGAGGCACCGGAGAAGGGTGCCGTTGTATGATCTCTTATAAAGCTTGTCACCCTCAATGACATAGCTTGGGGCCCTGAGCTTGGCTAGTTTGGCCCTCTCCTCGTCTTCCGGTAACGTGCCGGAGGTGATGTAGGTTGCGATGTCAGTGATCCAGTCCTCCGGCTGGTGTTGTATGGAGAGTATAGGGCTGGCGTGGATGCTCGACATGCTCAACTCCTCCACCTTCGCTATCTTGGAGATGTGCTCAGGGGTGTCGGAGCTGAGTTTGGAGAGTATGTCGGCCTCGGCGTTCTCTGCCCTTGGGATCTGAGTGATCTCGTATGTATCGAACGCCTTGAGCAATTCTGCGGCGGCCTCCTTGTATTGCTTCATTCTCCCCTCTTTGGCCTCGTAGGAGCCCTCCATCTGGTTCACTACGAGTTTGGAGTCGCATTTGATTCTGATATGGCGTGCTTTGAGGCCAGCGGCTAGTCTGAGCCCACTGAGGAGGGCTTCGTACTCAGCCTCATTGTTGGATACTTTGAAATTGAAGCGGATGGCATAATATGCTCTGAAACCTTCCGGGGAGATGAGGACGCCGCCGCCCCCACATGCCTTGTTGGCTGATGACCCATCCGTGAAGAGGGTCCAGGCTTCATCTGGTTCATGGCTGGTGGTGGTGACGGCCGTCTCCCTCGCTGTGCATTCCGTGACCAAGTCAGCCAAGGCTTGCCCCTTGATGGATGGCCTCGGCTTGATCTCAATCTGGTATTGGCTCAAGAATATTGCCCATTTGATCATCCTTGGGGAGCTGGTTGGGCTCCTCATGAGGGCGCCCAACGGCTGATGCGTGAGGACATGGACGGGGTGAGCCTGGAAATAGTGCCCCAGCTTCTTCACCGTGTGGACGATATGATGGCCAGCACCGTCTTCTCAATGGGGGAGTACCTGAGCTCGGCCTCCCGCAACGTCTTGCTGACGTAGAATATAGCTTTTTGCACCCCGTCGTCCTCCCTGATGAGTACAGAGAGGAAGAGAGTCTCGCCGGGTTGGGGCTTGGATAGGACGGGTGGGGAGGCGAGATATTGCTTCAGCTCTTCAAAGGCTTGTTGGCACTCCGTCGTCCATTTGAAGCTGGTGGCCTTCCTCATTATCTGGAAGAAAGGGAGCGATTTCTCCGCGGACTTTGAAAGGAAACGGTTCAGGGCCGCAAGGCGTCCCGTCAGCCGTTGCACTTCTTTGATGTTGCGGGGCGGCTCCATGTTGATAATGGCTTGTATCTTCTCCGGGTTTACTTCGATGCCCCTTCGGCTGACCAGGTACCCCAGGAATTTACCTCCCTGGACG